TCTCTCTCTCAAATAAATAAATAAAAAATCTTTAAAAAAAGAAAAAAAAAAAAGAGGCTACACAGGACAACGGGGAAAATAGATTTAAGTAAAAGAGACCTAATTTCAAGGCCAGACTCTTCCACCTACTGTGTGGCCTTGGGAAACTCATTTAACTTCCTGAATCTCAGTTTCTTCATGTGTCAAAAGAGGCCAGTACTGTAGTACTTAGTAACTTACATTGTGATGCTCATGAGAATAAATATGTGAAGGTTTCAAAACCGTAAGGTACTATGATATAATGAAGTTATATAGAATGAATACTGTTTAATTCAAGAACTAGAAAAAGTATTTCTGAAAGGTTTCTCTGTGATTCTCCTGAACATCGGGCTCTATCTTCCCTAGGAAGACAATACCCACCACTGTGGCCAATCAGCCTATCCTTTTTTTTAATAAACTTTTTATTTTGAAATAATTATACATCTAATACTTGTACAGAACAGCTGAAAGATGGTACAGATGGTTCCTGTATGCCTTCCCCCTACCTTTTGCTAATGTTATCATCTTAGGTAACTATGGTACATTTATCAAAACTACGAAATGAACACTGGTACAACACTATAACTAAGCCATAGATTTTATTTGGATTTCACCAGTTTTCCCATAATGTCCCTTTTCTATTCCAAGATCCAATCCCAGATAGGGATTCCTTAGTCTCCTTTTTAAGTCTGTGACAGTTTCCATTTTTCTTTTGGAAGAGCAGTTCATGTATTTTATAGAATGTCCCTCAGTTTGGTTTGCCTGATGTTTTCTCATAATTGGACTAGAGTTATGGATTTGGGGGAAAATACCATAAAGTCCTCTTCTCATCACATTATTTTCAGAGATGTATGATAACACCGTAACTTATTATTGATGATGTTAATCTTGATCACTTGGCTAAGGTAATGTCCACCAGGTTTCTGCAATGTAAAATTACTCATTTTTCCCCCCTTTTTATACTCTGTAAGCCCCAAGCCACTAAGTCCAGCTTACTTGGAAAAAAAGGGGAATTAAGCTCTACCTCCTGGAAGGAAGAGTATTAAAGGATTTGTGTACAGGGGCGCCTGGGTGGCTCAGTCTGGTTAATGTCTGCCTTCGGCTCGGCCCTGGGACAGAGCCCCACATCCGGCTCCCTGCTCCGGGGAGTCTGCTTTTCCCTCTCCTTCTGCCCCTCCCCCATGCTTGTGTGCGTGCGCTCTCTCTCAAATAAATAAATAAAATCTTTAAAAAAAAGCAGTGTATATGTTAAAACCAGAATAATTATAAATATTTTGAGGGAGATACTTTGAGGCTATGAAGACATCTTATGTCTCCTTGAAGTTTTGCTAATTTTAGCATTTATCATTATTACTGTGGTGTTCTAATCTAGCCCTTTTTATTTTTTTATGTTTTTCAAAATAATTTAATGACAAATATTTCTGTATAATAATAAAAGATGCTTAACTTTATATTAATATATTGGAGATATTTATCATTTCCTAGTACACATTTAGATCATTTATCAAACATTGCTAAAATAGAGAAAAGCTCTAACAAACTACAAAAGTAACTTTATGTCTCCCAAACATTAATATCAAGCAGAGAAGTAGCAAGCAGTGATTAGCTATATTCATACACTATTTTAATAACCCAAGAGGTAACTCTGAATACGACTATTTGAACTTTTTTTCACATAATTTTGTTAATGACATTATCTGAAACATCATTTTAAAGTAAGGATTTCAGCATGTCTCTATGAAGGTTTCTGCAATCTAGCCCCTTTTAAATGGAGACAAATGGGTCAAAACTGGAGGCTCCAGGAAGCCGATCTGTATGCTCACCAGCCAGTCTCACTCTGGTTTCTAAGAGACAAGGAAAGACTTATGATTAAAGTATCTTGTTCTAAGAGATGGCAATTAAAAATGTACTTTTGGGGCGCCTGGGTGGCTCAGTTGGTTAAGCGACTGCCTTCGGCTCAGGTCATGATCCTGGAGTCCCGGGATCGAGCCCCGCATCGGGCTCCCTGCATCGGGAGTCTGCTTCTCCCTCTGACCCTCCTCCCTCTCATGCTCTCTGTCTCTCATTCTCTCTCTCTCAAATAAATAAATAAAAAAAAAATCTTAAAAAAAAAAAATGTACTTTTGTCCACTTCAAACAAAATATTACGCTGTTTTAGTTATAAGAGTGACATCAAAAAGTGGAGGTGGAAGAAAGAGAGAGGGAAGGAGTAGAAGAAAAGGAAAAGTTTTTCCTATACTGTGCATTCGGTGATTTGGGTTTCCATAGTGCCTCACGAGGAGTAAATATCAAAGACTTACTTCTGCCCTTAACTGCTGCTGCTCCATCGCGATGATGGAGGCCTGGGGACTTGTAGACATACTTTCCTCCGGTTCCTTAAAACCTGGGGCATTCCCCACGTCTCCACTCACAAAGCTCACAACATTTTCAATCAAAGTGTGAACTCCCAAAGACTTGGTCAGATCAAAATCAGACTCGAAGGAGTAAGAGGAGTTGCATAACCAGTCTCTGCTATGTTTCAGGCGAGCCCAAGAGTCACTCAGGGATTCCAACTGACTGTGCAAAGGACCTACACACAAACAGAACAAACAGGTATCAATGACAACCAAGTAGAGCATACATTCTGAAACTAGACGAGGGCTGGGTGCTGCTACCATACCAACTGGTGAGAAATGGACACTCATGTTTGAATACATGCATGCATTAAGTGCATCTGAGCAAAATGCTTTGGTAAAAAACAACAAACAAACAAAAAGTAGAGCAATGTAAGAAAATAAAGGGAAAGCCCTGTTTGATGTATCAGTGTCTCTGTAAGCGCTTTAGCAACACACTGCCACAAGAAAAAGAAAGGCAGAAGCTGCTCTCAAAATGCTTAGCTTAAAATGCTCTGCAGTATTAAACCAGACCACCATTTATGAACAAAAAAGAACTTGACATTTGGGACACTGCTGGTAAGACCTAATAGTAATAGGACTTCATCTGATTTAACGTTATTTTTGCAAAGAGTAAGTTAAGACTGAGCAAAGAGTCTACATATTTACAATGAAACATTACCAAAAAAAATGAATATAGAAGGGCAAGTAAACTTACACAAAAAGGAGACATAAACATCACCCTTTGGGTTTCATAATATAAGGAACACTTTCACTGTGTCATATGCATATTTATTGCAGGTTGTGAAACTCCTATATAGAGGAAGCAAAGTTTCACAGACAAGAATATATGAGATTTACTGTAAATGATATCTATTTAAAATTACCAAGTGATGTCACAATAGTTGCTAGATATAATACCATTAGTTTTTGCCAGTGGGCATTTTCTCGACTAAATAGACAAAAACATTAGACAACAAATATGTTAATATGTTTGAACTCAACAACTGTCCAAGTCACATGCCAATATTAGCTTTAAATAAATATGTAAATGTCCAGTTCTTACAAGCCTTGTCTTTTTTAATTTAATTGATCTCAGGTACATGAATTAGATTAATCATAATCCTTGGCTCATGATATACTCTCATCATTGGTCCATGCATGGCCTGCTTCTGTATTTATTTATAAAAAATGTGAACACAAGAACTAGAAAATTGATAGTAACTTATATCTACCTATCTGTTCCTCCTCCAAGCCATCTCTCCCTATCTCCTCCTAGCTACGGTTGTCATTATCCCTAACCTGGGTTTATCATTCCTTTGCTTTTATTAATGCTAAATATTGTTTTATCTTATATGTATTCATTCCCAAGACAAAGAATGTTTAGTTTTAGGAGGTTTTGACTTTATAAAAAAATATCATTTTATGTAAATTTTTTGGGCATACTCTCTTCCATCAATATAATACTGCCAATTTTCACTCACATTATTGCATGTCGCCATAGTTCATTTGTATGAATGCTATATAATGTCCTATCATGTGAATATACCAAAGTTCTCTATTAGGAATGCATCTTAAGGTACCCAATAAAATATGCATTCCAAAAATTATATTTGTTGCATAACAAGATGAAAAAGATTTGGGAAGAGAACTACTTAAACACTAATGCCCACAGAGAAAACAAATTAATACAATATTTACTGCTTAACTTATTTCTGAATTACTACACTGGTGTCAGTAAAACCCTAGGACTTCAAAATTAGATGTAGAAATTCAGCTAATATTATAAAGCAACTGAAATAATTTATAAGCATTCTACCAGAATAATTTAAAATGGCAACGAATATATGGTTTATCTGCCTTCCATGTTTCAGCAAGAATTCTTAAGATTAAAAAATGCTGAATTTTCAGTTTTACTGAGCATAAAAAATAATCAATCTGAAAAATTCCCCAAATTGTATAGCTGAGTATTTTTTCACATAAAATAGAAAAGAGTAAAAAAATCCAAAGAATAATGTCAAGAATGGATAATGTATTAAATTAAAAATGATATTTAAAGAATAAAGCAGAAGCTAATTTTTAAAAAAAAGAAATAATCATTTTCCATTTCCTTAAGCACCCTAAATTCAGAATCTGGATATAGCCTTAACTTACAAATGATAGTTTCTGGCTCTTGTATTAAACTTCTTTGTTCAATAATAAAATTTCATAATAAAAAGTTCTTCTGTTTTCCAATACTTACAAATTACTGTGCAATGAGCTAGTGTTAGAACCACAGAAGTAAAAGGGACCTTGAAGATTATGTAGTCCTCAATTTCCAATTGAGGAAACAGAGACTCAAAAAATTGATCTGTTAAATTAATAACACTAATTCCTTAATTTTATGGGATCTTACATATTCCTGTTACTAGTCAACATCACGAGTCACTAGTCCATGGAAATGTCAATTGCCTGCCTACACAAAGGTCCAACTGTGAAGAATATACAAAGAGTGAATTGCTTTAATATACCCCAAAATGTTCTAGGATTGGGTAGGTAACCCATTCAAATCCTCTCTGTAAATTAAAGCAGGGGCTAAAGTTTTTGTATAGAGTCAGAGAGTAAATATTTTAGGTTTTTCTGGGTCATAAAGGTCTGTGCTACAACCACTCAACTTTGCTGTTGTAGCAGGAAAGCGGCCATAGACAATATATAAACAAATGAGTGTGTGGCTGTGTTCCAAGAAAACCTTATTTACAAAAAAAGGTAGCAGACCAAACTTGGCTCACTAGGCATAGTTTGCTGACCCCAATGTAGAAGATGCAATTTATTAGGGATAAGACCCAAACAAAACTTTGTATGACTAAAAGAAAGAACAAGAAAAACACGATATGAAAGCATTAGGATAAATAAATAAAATAACTGTAACCCAAATATTTAGGCTGACATAAAAAATACTTTAAAACAAAAACATTATGGAAATGAGAGATGAAAGAACTCTTAGTCTTTAAAAAACTTGTAACAGGGACGCCTGGGTGGCTCAGTCGGTTAAGCGTCTGCCTTCGGCTCAGGTCATGATCCCAGGGTCCTGGGATTGAGTCCCACATCGGGCTCCTTGCTCAGCAGGGAGCCTGCTTCTCCCTCTGCCTGCCGCTCCCCCTGCTTGTGCTCTTTCTCTCTCTCTCTGACAAATAAATAAATAAAATCTTTTAAAAAATAAATAAATAAAAATAAAAAAATAAAAAACTTGTAACAACCTGATAACTTTGGTTTGTTCGACTTTGTTTAATCTGAATATAGGAAATACTGTGTCTGAAAAGTACAACAAAAGCTTCTATAGAGTAATTGTGACTAAGTCCAGTTCTCAGTATTAATTCAGAGTCATCTACTATAAAAAGAAAATATAAAGTCCAGGAAAATTTTGAGATTGTTTACTTGTCCTTACAACTTTGGTTCTTAAATGGAATTTTCAAAATGAACATGGCAGAGCTGCAATACATACTTTATAAATCATAAAATATGTAGGCAAGCTAAAAGGGGAAAAAAATTAAACATGCCATCATGTACTTGCTTGAAGCTCTTCTTTTTTCTGGGGCTCAACTGGCCAAAAAGGAGTAAATACACTACCACACAAGAATCAGAAGACAAAAGGAGAAATTTGATACAGGAGACAACATTTACATTTGCTCTTCTTTATATAATGTAATTTGAAATGCATAGTTACAACAGCATTTCACCCATACATGTCATACCACGAAACACACATGCTGATAAATGTTTCCAGTATTATTATGGCTGAAAACCCTAACACTTTATTTAAAGACTTAGGGAATAAAAAACCAAACCATATAATATTTTAACTAAGAAGATTCCTGATGTTGCTTCTTAAATTGTTGCTTTGGTATCCCCACCATTTTTCACTGCATCAGCTTCAGCTTAACTATGAAAACTAAAGTTAAGTATCTGCAAAAAGGTATCTTTCAGTGAAGGATGACCTCAGTTCTACACAACTATAGCAAGTCTTCTAAGTATTTATCAAAGTACCAAAATACCAACACATTTAACAGGGTTTGTCAAAAATTTTGACAAGCTGCTATAAGAATTAAATGTGTTACTATGTTTTACATGATCAGAACAATGACTGGCATATATAAGCAGTTTAAAGGTGTTTAAAGAATGCAAATGTCATATTATCTCTGAAGTGCTAAGCAGAAATATGTTTCACCTATCTCTTTTTAAAGTAATTTATGACTTTTTTTGGTTTTAGAATTTAGCTTCCATGCCTCTAAAGAGCTGAGCAAGTTGACAGAGCTAAATTTATTTGCTCACTTTGCTCTACTCCTTCCTATATGCACTTACTTGGCCCAACTATGAAAGCATGAATCCTAGTATCTCCAATGCCACATACTGAAATTATAGGCACTTGGCACTCCCAAGGAGGAGTAAGTCTTTGGAAGCGCAATAAGGGCAGCTGAAATATGTAGACAACCATTAATTGTTAATTGATACAGCCATTTAATTTCAGTAAATGGGACAAAATTAGACACTTCTCTCTCTCTAATTTTTCTTATTAGGTTTTTAATAACTCAGAACCACTGAGACTAATAATTACAAAAGCTATGTGAGGGAAAAAGTTTACATTTCCTCTTCAAAATATTGGAAAGGGGTAAACAAGTATGTAGAAGAATTCTCACTTAGCTGGACATCTCCATGTCCTTCATAGCTCAAGTTAGAATCAGAACACCTAAATGGCCCCAAACAGTTCTCAGACTTGGTAGGTTCATTTGCCCAATTGAAGATAAGCATACTGAGGCTTACGGCATCTGGTCCATATTGGCAATAAATAAGGAAAAAATAGGGTAGCTTATTTTACCATTATTTAAGAGCAAAACAAAACAAAAAAACCACCATGGTCAGAAGGTAGTCACTAAATATACATGATCTTTAAAAATTCCTTTCAAAATATATTGTCCTAAATGTATTTCAATGTTTGTTTCTTTTAAAGAAGGAAATCCATAATAAAACTATTAAGTGTACATTTTCATTGTTTAATCCACAAGCGCTAGGATTCATGAGATTGAAAACTACTCATTTTTGCTGCCCTTCCTAAAACAGTACTTCTACTTTCTAGTCATCTATTCCTAGGAACAAAGCCATCAGCAGATTTTTTTCTCTGGGAACATTAAAATGTAATGATTACTAAGATAAATTGGTACCATATTAAGTGATATCATGAAAACTTACATAACTAGTTTGCCTCTCTATTATAATTTCCTAAGTGGGTAATTAAAAAAAAATTCTTCCCATGAGGTCCTATATTTGCTTTTCTGTTTTCCACAAAATAAGTTAAATTCCAACAGGTTACTAGATTTTTGGTACTACCTTGAGCTTTTTGGAGAAGGTGGTTTATCCACAAATAAAATTTGGATTAATGGCTTAATTCATTTGTATCTACTTAGATCTAAAACTACAGAAATTCCACATCTACTTATAGGATAATAGTTTAAAAAACTGAACAGGTAGTTACTCTAGGGCAGTAATTCTAAAGTATTAGAGTAATTCCTCCTAAGTAATTTACACTCAAATTCTAGGTTATGCTTAATTCAAAGATAAAGATACCACTTTCTGTTTTATTCCAAACATTAGTTTGCCACATGCTGTCATGGCTAATACAGACTAAATCTCACATTTATATTTCCATAAACAAGATAAGGATTTGAGAGAAAAGAATAATTTTAGCCAATGGACTATCACATATAAATATAATTAGTATAGTAGGAGGCTCTTACACTATAAACTGGAACCCTTATGCTACTCAGTAAGTTTGGAACCATCTTCTAACACCAAATGATACGCATTCATTAACATAACAGAAATTTTAGCAACAGGGCTCACCTGAGCTAACCGAAAATTTAATTCCTAAGTCAAGTGGTTAAGGAAAATAACTCTCTGGCTAATTATGGCACGTGAACTGCCAATTTTCAAAGAATTAGAAAATAATAAAGTACATGCTGCACGTTATACTAAACATCACTTAATTTTTTTCATATACAAATACCTTGTAATTTTTTTAGAAACCCAGCAGCTATGTTATAACCCAACAGGTAAGTTACAGTCTCCGAAGACTTTCCAATAAAGAAAGCACCAATTCTAGTCATTACTCCTAATATTTCAGAAAAATCATTCTCTGCATTCTAATTATAATTAAAGGACAAAATATTGTCATATTTTATTCTAAGAAGTACCAACATTTCTTCTTCTAAGTTATAAGCACGAAAATGAAAAAAACTGTGTGTGCATTTCTTCTCCTCATTCCTCAGTTTTCCCTCATTTCTTGGTTTTTTTCCTGTGGGGGGGAACCTAACATCCTGCCAAGGAAGCTATGAAGAGAAGGGTTTCCTTTTGAAGTACAGAAGACTTAGTATCACAGGAAAAAAATTTTCCCACAGGCTAAAAAATTGCCACTAGTGCCAACTCTGAACATCTCACATTTTCACAACCACAGTATAAATGGGTTCAATAAAAGTGCCAGTTAATAGAGAACAATACTTGGGAGAGTTTTTAGTTTTCCTTGAATTCAGATTCTCTGAAACTGCTGTCCTTTCCACACATCTGTGTATATAACCAAGAGTTAACTATATTATTCACTGAGATAGAGTTTCTAACAAACAAGCTTAACTCTTGATGACACTCTAAAATTGTTCCTCATGGGAAAATTTCTCCCTAGAAATCCTAAGTTCATGCCTTACATGCTTTATCTTATGAGGCAAAGAGAGCAAAAACAAGTGGAAACTTCCTGAAAGTGTGCATGGGTACGTGGGAGAGTGAATGGAGGAGAGTTCTCCCTGAAACACCTTTTAAACTATGACAACTATACCAGTGAACTAAAACATGGCAAATCATGTACATAACCCCCCATAATATAAAGCATTGCTTCTGGAGTTCCACAGGACTTATTACAAAGTTAAAACACATGACAAATGAGAAACAAAACAGATTATTAACTCCTAGACATTTCTAGATTTTAAAAGGGTATAGATTTTAAAGAAAATGATCTTCCTTTTAAGTCTTCCAATAAGATGTTTCTAAATTTGCTTCTGCAATAATGCTTCAATGACAATCATATCTAAATACATCAGAAATGAAAACAGCTACTCATTTAACCAGATTTTTAATTTCTTAACACTTACCTCTCTTTCTATGAGATGATGCCAAATCCAAATCAACATTTCGTCTTCCACTCTATTAAGTTAAAAATAAATAATAAAATTTAGTTGTGAAAAGTGCTTTAAGATTAAGATTTAATACAATATTAGAATAAAAATATAATTATAGCAATGTGCTACTTATTCACAAGTCAAGTCAAACTAACAATACAGAGTCTCTAAAAACCCACTGAAAACAGCTCTAAGAAAGCCCAGGTACATAACTCTGAGATACTAAAACACAAAGTCAAGGTATACACTAACACTGCAAAGTAGCATAAGTTTTTCTTTGTTGTCACCTTTTCTTCTTTGGAATCGTAGTCTTTTATTTTCCAAACACATTATGACCTTATTAATACCCTCTAGATGTCTAAAGCTCCCTGCGGTAAAGTCCCATTTTCAAAAATTATTACTTGTTCTATTCTCACTTTACGTTCTTTTCAAAAGTCCCACTAGTCTTGGCTAAGTGTTAAGAGGAAGAGAATCTGATGAATCCACACTAACAGAAAAATAACATAGTCCTAAACCTTCTAGCAGTATTTTAAAAAGATTTTAAAATGTTTTTAAAAGCCTGTTAAATATAAAAATCTCAAACTGGTGAAACTGCAGACAGCTCAATAAAAACAGTGAAGGCTTTCAGAAAGCCTTCTGTTTCTGCTGGGGAGGTGGTGTAGACAACTATCTGCTCTGCTCATACAGCCAACCAAACACAAACCATAGGTGGCTTATTTTCACACAGACTTGACACTATAGCCTTAGGAATTTCATTCATACTCTATCACACAATAAAAAAAATTGGCGGCAAAGAAGAAAGGTTGTAGAAATAACAAAATAGACTCATTTAGGAAATGCCATTGTAGAAAATTGTTACCTGGTTACACACAGACACATGTACCTACATTGTGGATAAACACATTCTGTCTTACACACACATACACACCAAAAATAAGTATAGTGTCAGGCCATTTGGCGCTGGACAAAACACCAAATGTCACAATATTTCCTAAAGATATCACTGTATCATGCAATAAACATTTTTATCACACAGTACCTCTGTCATGAAGGCTCATGGAAGAGTTTTATCTCAGGCCTCAGAACCAGAATTATCTGTGTTTCCCTTGAACAATTGGTTTGTATATATCTTTTAGACACTGAATCATGTGAATCATGCTTTTCCTGTTTGGTGGCTCACCTTCAGCAGGACATCACAAGATATATGCTGAGGTATACAAATCTTACCCAGGGCTTTATCTCTCAGCTTCTTTCAGCCCTAATTCATTAATCTAATTTATACCTTGATAAATTATTTTTCTACACTAAAACAAATCCTCTGTGAAATAAGGGGGAGAAGGAATAGATTAAGAGACTGTAGTACAAAATGTTGCTAAGTATGACAACTGTCAATCAGTTAAACTGAGGTTTAATTAACTGTTTGCTGAGGTTTTTCTGTTTACTAAGCCAGAGAAGAAGATTTATGTATCATGTAACACTTTTTATAAAAGAAGGATAAAGATGGGGCGCCTGGGTGGCCCAGTCTGACTCTTGGTTTTCGCTCAGGTCATGATCTCAGGTCATGAGATTGAGCCCTGCACCGGCTTCCACACTGAGTGCAGAGTCTGCTTGAGATTCTTTCTCCCTCTCCCTCTGCCCCACCCACTCATGCTCACTCACTCTCTAAAATAAAATAAATAAATCTTTTAAAAAAATAAATAAAAGAAGGATAAAGACTTAGCATTAAGCTGGTTAACTTCAGTTATTTTAAGAAAGCATTTCATTTATTCACAATTCAGAATAAATGAAATACTACTAGATATCAAGGATATGAAGATAATCCGAAATAACCTCAGACAGAAGGATAATATATTTTAACTGGAAAAACCCAAACTGCCCCCACTGCTTGCTCCTCTTCATCTATACCAGGCTCTCTAAAACTGAAGCCTTAGCCAGGTTTCCTTTCATCTGCAAAAGAATCTGCTCTGGTTCTAGACTTTCCTACCTCTTACAACACTATTTTTCTAAACATTCCATAACGAAAGATGATCAAGAGCAAACCTTTTCAAAAATGTGTTTATTAATCTTTTAAAAATTGTACGGAAACTAAATGAACAATCTTAGCAATTAAATCTTAAGTTCAAACCACCTCCACTGATCTTTCTATTCTGTTTTGAAAACATAATTTTCAAAATGTTTTAAATTGTATTACCAAATTTGTGCTTCACAGCAACCCAGCTGAGGTCAGTATAACAGGTAGTTTTATTCCTCATTTCAAAAATAAAGAAGCGAGGGCTCAGAAAAGTTAAATGTCTTGCCCCAGGTAAAGATCAATAGTAAATCACAAGCCTATTGTGACTCAGTCAGATTTCATTGTTTTCTAAAAGTATGTTGCTCTAACTACATCTATCCTCATTTTTTATCTTTTCATTTCAATGGAAATGAATTATCAATCTCTTACAGTATGCTTGGCATATTATAAAAGATTGGGGCAACACAATAAACCAAGATCTTCTAAGAGGTCTACTGGAAAGAAATATTAATAATACATAAATAAGTCCGACGTGAGACAACCCATTAGTGGTTCATTAGAGGTACTAACAAACTGCCACGGAAATAACTGGAGACTCACTGTGAGTAACGTTATCTTGGAAAAGCTTTCTGGAAGAGTTGACATTTTGGCCAGTTCTTAAGAGAGAGATAGGACCCCATCAACAAAGTCCAGGAGAAGAACATTTAAGACAAACAGTGCCTGAGCAGAAGCTCAAGAGGTATGTTTAGGATCTGGCAGGTAGACTACCACGCCAAAAATGCAGATTACCACAGGGGTAACTGGCTCCAGAGGCAAGCAAGAAACATTTTCCAGCATCTCTGATTTCTGGGTAGGCAGTGCAGAGTCACTGAGTTTTTTGAGTAGAAGGTAGCATGACAGCAAAGGTGTTGTTCCTGCGTGTATTTTCAAGAGCTCTAACTCTGGGAACAATGTCTGAGGAGAGGAACTAAAAAAAAGTAGGGAGATCAGTTTGAAAACTACCAGTCCAGGCAAAGGTAACAAAGACCTGAATTAAAGAGTAGAAAAGACAGAACGGGCATGGAAATTTTATCAAAGTAGATCAGATGGCAATTCAGCCATTAAAAACAAAGCAAAACAAAACAATTTAGTGACTGCCTAGTATGTGCCAGGCACTACAGGTGCTTGCAACACAGCAGTAAATAAAACAGCAAAACTCCTGTCCTCAAGGAGCTTATATTCTAGTGTAGGCTAACAGAAACTGACAAACCAACATAATAAATAAGTAAATTACGTTAGGTCCTGTGGGGGAGAAGACAAAAACACAAACAAACCCCACAAGGCAAGGTGGACAGGGAATGAATATGTGGACAGGAGGGCAAACTGCAATTATAAATAGAGGGGTCAGGATTGGCCTCACTGAAAAAGTAACATCAGAATGAAAAGTTGACGTGAGGGAATTAGCCAGGCAGACAACAGTATTCTAGTGGGAAGAAACAGCTGGGTAAAGGCCCTGAGGGGAAGTTGTGTGGTATGTTCACAAAAAAGCCAAGAGGCCAGTGTGGCAGAAGGAGAATCATCAATCATGAAGGACAGGAGAGATCAGAGTGATAGTGGGGCCAGCAAATGTAGTCTTGTAGGCCCTTGTAAGGCTTCTAAGCTAAGAAAAAGTGAAGTCACTGGAAGTTCTGAGAAGAGAAGTGACATGATCTGTGTTATTTTTGACAGGGTAGGGAGACTAGGTAAGGAGACTGATCAGACTGGAAAAATAAACAGAGAGACATCTCAGAGACTGTAAGATTGGGAACATGAACTGGGAGAATAGAGATACAAACAGTAATAAAGAATAAAAGGAAGAAAACAAACAAAAACATCATGATACAATGAAACCTGCTTAAAGACACTGTTGAGCTTTCCTTAGAGGAGGAATCTTTTATGCTTAGAAATTTCTTTTAAACAACAGCTTTCTGTTCATGTAGCACTTTATACCTTTCAAAAATATTTTCATATCCATCATCTCAATTCACACAACAGAGAAATTTCAGAGCTAAAAATGGAGCTTATGGACCACTCAGTCCAAAAAACCAGAGTTTCTGTTCGAGCTGTCGTGTGACATGACCACAGTCTCACAGCTCTTCAGAAGTAGAATCAAGGCCAGAAGCCAAGTCTCACACATTGCCATCAACACAACAGGCACTAATAATCTCCTATCACACAATTCTCTGGAACACTAAGGCCCAGAGAAGTCAAGTAACACATACAGTTTATTCACGTACAAGACAGAGGAATAGTCAAACTAAAAATCTAGCTATGAACTCCAAGTCCAAAGCTACTCAAATAGAAGGAATCTCTTAGACAGTTTTCACACTATAATTTACCTATCACACTATAGCATACTTTACTTCCTACTTCTTAGGTAAATCACCATCTTGCCTGTAGTCCAGGTCCTGAGGATTTCTGGGTAGGTAACTGAGAGCTACTGAAAGATTTTAAGTAGAGGAGATATAAACAGACGTGTGAAATATGTGCATAATACGATGGGCACAAAACAAGAGGTTTGGAGGCTTCTGGACTAGTTCAAGCAGAAGAGAAGGAAAGTTTGAAACAGAACAGTGGCAAAAGGGATGGAAAGGACATATTAGAAATATATTAAGGGTAAAATTTTCAAGACTTGACTAACTGAAGTATAGGGAGTATGGGAGTTTGCAAAGATGAGAAAATAAGGAAAAGAAAAGGATGAATCCTGGGTAGTTAATAATACCACCTACTAAGGGAATATAAGACAAGAAGATTTAAGAGAAAGATCAATTTATTTTTGGATATGTTAAGATTGGGGTAACCTCACTTGTTCAGGTGGAATGTCCATCAAAGAGTCAGATATATGAATTTGGGGTTTAGGAAGAAGTCAGAGCTAAAGATAGAAATCTGAGAGTCATTAACATATAGATGGTAAATATCTATGCAATATAGTTATCTTATTTCTCTTAAAAGTTCTTTTTTACTTTATTTTTTAAGATTTTATTTATTTATTTGACACAGAGAGAGAGAGAGATCACAAGTAGACAGAGCGGCAGGCAGAGGGAGAGGGAGAAGCAGGCTCCCCGCCAAGCAGGGAGCCCGATGTGGGACTCGATCCCAGGACCGGAGAATCATGACCTGAGCCGAAGGCAGATGCTTACTTGACTGAGCCACCCAGGCGCCCCTGAAAAGTTCTTTTTTAAAAAGCTCTTATATGTCTAAGACAAACATATATTACTTACTGTCACCAAAGTCTTATGTATCTATACCCTGAAAACAAAAATCCCTCTTTACTGAATCTAGGTATACCTACCAGTGCGTAACCCTCTTCATCTGATTCAGGCTGAGACAAATCAGATTCACTCCTTGATTTGATCAGTCTATAATTTGGACTTGCGTGGACTAGCCGGCTCTCTGCAGTAAGACTTTCACTCCTGTCTCACATGCACAAAGAAAAGTTTTTCAATTTGGGATTGTTAGTGAACATAAAATTGAATGGAACTAGCAGCATAGAGATAATACACACATACAGTGAGGAGTAATTGTATCTGTCAATGGGAAATCCTGACTCTTGCGTAAGCACAAAGCCCTTTATAATTACACCAAAATAATTTGCATGCCACTACAGTACAGAGATGCTGCAAATAACTTCATATGTTTGTCAACTGCTGTTGTTTATAGGTATGAAAAATTGTGCCTCGTTTAATCAGAAATGTATGTTCCAGGCTGAATCAGCATCACTCTTTACATTAATTTAATACATTAATACATTATTTCACCCTACTCAATTTGTATTTCCTCCTCCGTGTCTGTATTAATTTCAGAAGACCACCACATCTTCGAGAATAAAGTATTTCAATGCATAAAGTAACAAAGGGGGTAGAGTAATATTTTAAGTTTCTAGTCAGTCCCACCTGGTCATAAGTCCACCCCCTTCAGAGGCACTTGTTGAAGGCTGCTGCAACTGTCCTTCTTCCTTTCGCTTCTGAAGCTCATCAATCACAGGACTTACTCCTAATATTAACAGGGCACACCGATGGATCACAGAATTGCAGGCAGCAGTGTATACATCCTGACCCTCAGGAAGGTCTGTGCTGACCCTTCGCTCTTGCTGAGACTGAGGAGGTGGATCATCAGCTCGAGCCCCAGACCCTGCCCCACTGTTCATTCTATCTCGATCTCGGCTACGAGCTACTTCACGGGCTGAGAGGAAACACTGAAAGATTTCTGTAACATGCAACACAAAAACAAGGTCTTAACACATGGGGAGAGAAGAGCAAAGAAAATAACAATAAAAATAGTCATAAAGTTTGGATCAAAACTTATTGAAAGAGGGAAAATTATTTTTTAGACATTAAATACAGATAGTTACTAAGTTAAAATTATATTAAATACATGTAAAATATTAAACTTCACCAAAACTTACAAAAAGAAATACCTATGCCTTTACAGAATTTAGATTTGATTTATTCTATTTCTACTCTTATTAATGAGTTAGATCAGTGCTTTCCAAAGTGTGGCTCCAGACCAGAAGCATCAACGTTATCTGGGTACTTGTTAGAAATGCAAACTACTGGGCTCATCCCAGACTTTCTGAATCAGAAACTATAGGCATGGGACCAGCAATCTGTGTTTTAACAGATCTTCCAGCTGATTTTGAGGTCCACTAAAGTCTCAAAACTACGGGGTTAGATAAAAATAACTGCATTAGTTCTGAGATGTTCGTAACCTTGGTATGGCAAATGTCAGGTTACAAAAGAAACACAAAATTTAAGTTGCATTAGTTATGAAAAGCCCCCTTTCCCCTTCTAAAGTCTATATAATTCCTGACATCTACACTTTGCTGTATCTCAAACACATTAAAAAAAGTACAACCACTAAAGTTCTTTGCTGAAACTGAATATGGTTATAATACACAGCTAAGACTGCCTCCAGAGTCAAGTGGCATCACCAAGAATGTCTATCTGATACCAGCCCTTCCCAAATCACAAGTGTAAAATCACTGAGTTTAATAAGGTTCTGATGCAGTGGTAGATACTTCACAATAGGAAATGAATTTTTTGCTCAAATTTTGAGTGAAAACAGTATTCTTATTGGGAATCCAAGCAGAAAAGTTGGTAAAATACTAGATTCATCTCTTAATACCGAAGTACAAACTTTAAAAATGGATTTTATATGTATATTTTATAGAATTATTATAGCAATGTTTTCATATGCTGTTTAAAGTCTCTTATTTTCTGCAAAAATCACAGCAACAAACTCAAGAGTACAAAGCTGGAAATCAGTTAAAGTAATTAAGAGAATGGTCACTGGAATTTTGGGCATATCTCACTCTAATTCCAGCTGCTACTAATGGTGGCCCTAGGCACATAATTTTTGCCTCCTTACACCTCAGTCTGCCCACCTTTAAGAAAGGGTAAGGACTAGTGTGCATCTCATTAGACTGTTGTGAGGATTATCAGCTCATCTATGAGAAGCATTTCACCCAGTGCCCAGCAGGTAATACAGGTGCTCAGAAACCATAGCTGGTTTAAAAATTACTACTCCCTGGAACCCTCCTACACTGTTGGTGGGAATGCAAGCTGGTGCAGCCACTCTGGAAAACTGTATGGAGGTTCCTCAAAAAGTTGAAAATAGAGCTA